TTCCCACTCTTAAGGAAAATTGTGGCAAACCCTACTGGAGCCTTGGAACATGAGGGCGGGGGCCTGGGAGCAACACAGGACTGCCAGGCTGACAGATGCCAGCTGGCACTGCCTGCAGGGCGCACACTGGTGCAGCCCCTCCGCAGCTGCTGCAAGATCCCAGGCAGAGGCCATGCTCCTGCCACAGAGGAAGGCAAACCTCCCCAATCTATACCAATTTGACCAGGGGAAAATTCATTCTTGACCCCAAGTCAGCATCAGTCTGACCCTGAGCCAGAGGGGCAAGACCCTACAGCTAGGACCCTCGGGGGCTGAATCTCAGCAAGAGTATTGGCACATCCCCAACCAGTGGCTAATCAACTTCTTCTGGAACACCTCCAGTGCTGGGGCATGCACAGCTTCCCTAGGTGTCTGTTCCACTGCTCCCTGCTCTAACTGGGAGTTGGTAACAGAAGCCTCTCAGGTATTGCTGGCTTTCTCCCTGGGCCCTTGGGAGAGAAAGAGAGAGAGAAGAAAAAAAAAAAAGGCAGTAACAGCAGCCTCCCCAGGCACTGCTGGCTCTCTCCCCCAGCTTGTAGTGAAGAAAAACGGAAAAAAAATAAAAGCAGCAGGCTCCCCCCACATTTCTCTCGGTCTTCGAGGAAGAAAAAAGAAAAAACAACAGCCTCCCAATCCCTGGTCCCCCCAAGACCTGCCCTCCTCCCCTCACATTGCCCGTGCATCATCCCCATCAGCCTGACTGGGTTGGGGTAGCAAGAGTGGAATTGAGTGCAGAGCTGTGGTGAGCCCACAAAATTAAGCTCCAGGCTCCACAAATTAAGCCCGTTCCCACCAAATCACTTGACTCAGGAGCCCTGAGCCAGGAGATCAGATCTTGGAGGGCTACCAGCCCCTCAAGTGGCCCAGGGTACCCACCTGTACACCTATGCCCTGCTTCCTGCCAGCTCTCCCCACAGCCCCACCCCAATCCTTGCAGCATTACCTGCATCACCATGCTCTGCTCCTGCCCACCCTGCTAGCTCTTCCCATAGCCCCCTACCCCGTCCTGGCAGCATGACCCACAGCCTACACACAGCTTACACCCACCAGCCTTGCCAGTACCCCTAATTCTTGACCTGCAGCCCCCCTGCCCACACCAGCCCTGCCAGAAGGGGCCTCCAGCTTTCCCCCACCCTCAGCCCCCCAGGCCCTAGTTACCCAAAAGGCTGAAGAAGACAAAGTGAGTCTGAGCCAGCCCTGGCTAGTCTCAGATTCTCAGGCCCTGTCTCCAACCCCTCTGGACAGGGCTTAGGGTTTTGTGCCCTGTTTGCAAGTAACTCATTACAGACTGGAACTTGGCCGGCCTGTGGAGACTTTCCTCCAGCTCAGCACCATCCAGTGTACCCTGGATCTCAGTCTGTGCTGCACGTGCCCAACAGGCAGTGGCTCTGCACCCCCGGCACCAGCTCCAATGTGGACCTGCAGATGACGGTGGCTACAGCTCCTGGGGAGCAGCATGTCCCATTCTGGCCGCTGATCCTGCTGCACTGGCCAGGGATGAAATACACAACTGTGGGGCAGGGTGCAGGTTGGGGGCGGGCCCCAGGCCGGGGACCTCAATGAATCTCAGTGTGCCCCTGATGGCCAGCAAGTAGGTTAGTGGAGCAGATGGCTCACTGCTCTGCTCTACTGCAACTGCCAGCGACCTCTGCAGCTGGGGTGTGCAAGAGGATGGCTGTTCCATTAGCTCAGTGATCACATGCAATTGGAAGCAGGACAAAGCATTCATATCCTTTCACTCAGTCAAATTTTTATTTCTTCATTCCACCTGCAAAAAAAGGGGAGCATTTTATGCAAAAAACAGGCTGTTTCTTAGGGGACTACTCACTGTTCTGAATCCTCAAATAGGACGGCAATTGCACTTAGTATTTTCTGTACTGTCTCATGCAGAATATTTAATGCACATGTATCAAAATGATCAGGTTTCAATTCATTTCTGTTCTCTTGGTCAAGGAGAAAAATAAATGTAGCTCGCTTGCCTTTTGGAGCTTGGGTTGAGTCCCAGGCTTGAAATCTTGCTGTTTTGATTGGTGGAGCCCACCCACCAATCTGGAGGTAGCAAAAGGAGCTAAGTCACACCCCTTTCCTGAGGGGCAGGGAAGAGGAGCTCCCCCTCCCACCCCAGACTTGATTAAAGACTGCAAAACTCAGATCAGGAAGACTTCAGGGGTGGAGCCCTGGAGCCTATAAAAGGAGCTGCGTGCCCAGCCCGGGGGAAACACACCCCGGACAGAGAAGAGAGAAGAGAGAAGAGCGGGGCTTAGAAGAGCTGAGGAGAGCTGCTCAGCAGGGCAAAGCAGTAGCCCAGAAGTGTCCCTAAAGACTTCCATCAGTGGGGACGGCAGACAGATCCAGCAGCTAGGCTCTCGGTGTGCAGCACAGTGCACGGCATCCAGACCCTGGGAGCTGTGTGAGGCGGCTCAGATCTGCAACCTTTGGCATGCAGCCAGCGACACAGTCCACAGGCCGGTGCACGGAGTAGGACCTTTGGAGCGCTTGGGCGGCTCAGGTCCTCAATGCCCAGAACGCAGCTGGGAGCTCGGTGCAGGAGGCACTGCACGGAGGGTCCGGGAACAGACCGAGCCGGGTGCTGCACAAGGCAGCCCAGGCCTCCGACCCATAGCAAAAGGTTGAGTCCAGAGAGCCAGACAATGCTTGGGCTACTGAACCAGCAGACAGGGCTGAGCCAAAGGCCCCAGAAGCCCTGCATAGAGGAGCCCTGTTCCAGGCACAGCAACCCCCCCCAAAGCCCACTGCAGGCAAGAAAGCAGGTTGGTGCAGAGGACGAGGGCCACCCTCCATGCCTGGGAGCTGTAAATTGCAGGGCAAAGAGAATTCCCACAGGAGAGGAGGAGTCCCCCCTGGTTAGTTAAGGGCTCCTGAAAGTAGAGGTCCCACTGGGAGGGCCCCCCTAAATTTACCAGCTTCCTTGTAGGGATGTAGCTAATGTCCATCTGCAATGATAAGGAGGAGACAGTCTTAGATAAAGGAGGCTTGAAAACAAAAGCAGAATCAGAGGACTAGGGCAAAGAGCTAATTTAAATATTAAAAATCACACCCCTAGGTGGGGAGAAAGTGTGCTAATGAAACATACATGTATGTAAATGAGATACATAGCTAAAACACAGGTATAGAGACATGCTCAGTAAAGAACTCCTTGCGTCACTCCCTTATAACCAATTAGCAAACAAGAATGCTTATGAAGGTCCAATACTCCTGTATAAAAGATGCTTAGAATTAAGAATCTGTGTGCTTGTTACGTGAAATTATTCCGCTTGCACCTTGTATTGCTAGCAATAAATCTTCTTTATACTTTCACCCCTGGTATCTTTATTGGCTTTTGCATACCGGGCAGGATCCCAGACTTGAGCTGGGGCTCAACAATGTCATACCTTATATTTTGTGAACTCTCATGTTTGTAAATTAGTAGATGAGTAGAGTCCTAGGGCTCTGCTGGGACCCCCTGTTGCTGTTATTTCATCTGTTATTTATTTGTGGCTTATTTATTGTTCACCCATACTTATCTATAGCTTATTTGTTAGCTATCTATGTTTATTTTGGGGTTTATCTGTTGCAGATCAGATACTTACCTGTGACTTACCTGTACGTGGAGCACTGGTATAAGGTTTTATGGCATTTACCCAAAGGGTATCGTTTATGTTATTTGTTTAGATATCTATCTATCTATAGCTATATCTATATATTAGTACATATGTATATATCCATGTTTCTTTTCCTTGTGATAAGTTAATGTAAATAAATTTGTATATAGTTAACTCCCCTGACTGTCCTGGCCTGGTTTTATAGGGATGGATGGAAACAGAGAAGTCTGCAGTTCCCCCACAGCACACCTGCCAGTTAACAATAATCGCCTTCAATCGGAGAAGGGAAGTATATACCTGAGTTACCTGGGCTACATAAACATGACCAGAAATACTGCAATATTTCTGAAACAATAACAACTTCAACATTTAGTAAAACCCAAAGTCCAAACTCAGCTCTTAAGGAACAGCTAATTTCAAAAGCAACACTGTGGCAAAAAGAGGATGCAAACTGAACGCTGGTTGTCTTATTTCCACAATATCCTTAACTGTGAAACAGTACCTACAAATAACAGAAGTATGTCACTTGAACCCTTTACAATACTGATTTTTTTTCCCCACAGGACACTGCATAATTACATGTAGAACTACATTCCTATGTAGTTAAAATAAGTTAATTTTAACACTGAAACAGTTCCAGCAGGTGCTGTTGTTATATTGAGATACTGTAGTGATCTGTACTTTTATGACCACAGTCTTTCATTAGAATTAAATTTAGTCACTGGCAAGTTCAAAGTTTTGTTTTCTCGCTCCTTCTTTTGCCAGTCTATCAGCCACTTCACTTCCTATTGTCACAACCCAAAGGTGTGATTTTGTTTTGTGTGTGCTTTGGCACCACTGAATTATTTTCTCGCCAATTTGTAGCTTTCTTTGCAGTGTGCATGTCTTCTTTGCAGCACAGAAATGCACTTTGCAAAGAGTTCCTGCCATTTGTATTATAATTCGAGCCCCATTATTGGCTTGCGTGAAATTATTCACACGTGGCGGCTAGCGATTGGCTTGCTAGCCATATAAAAGCTTGAGCGGTTTCCGCTCCCCGGCACCGTTCGCAATCCTCGACGTATCCCTCTCCCTGCGCGCACAAGTTCCACAGAGCCTAGCAAACTTCGTGTGAGTCTATTCAGAGCTCTTTTTTCGAGTACTTTCTTCAGTTGGCGCGACGGGCTTGCGGTTTAGAGCCTCCAACCAGATGGGCTAGAAGAATGTTCACGGGAAGGAACTCTAGTCCGCCTCTCTTCTTTTCTATCTGTAACTGCAACTCAAGCAAGTTTTCCTGCCTGCACCGCGACCATCTTCGGTGTAAGTAAATAATCTTAAATCAACCATTACGCGTCCATGACTAATTCTAGCGTGTCGCCTGTTTTCTCTGACCCAGCGTGCCCGGGCTTCTGGCCACAGCCCGCGCGGCGCGAAAAAGGGCCTGGATCACTCCTGGCCCGCACACCTATAAAGCCAGCATGACCAGGAATATGTATCTGTTGAGATAAAAGCATGAGAAAGTTACTGAACCTCCAACAAAATCCAAGTAAGCAAAGATCATACAGCTGGTCCTCCTGTGGAGGAGCACAGGCCTTAAAAACCTTTTATTCACAAGCATTTTACTCAAGGTCACCAACTTAAGTTTGCCAAACGCAGCAGCATTTGCAGAATCAACTCTAATTCTGAGCTCAAAAATGCTTAACTGTGCTGTTTGCAAACTAGCACAGGACACTTCTTACAGATGACTTGGTTCCTTTAAAATGTGAATCACTTCACCCATCTTATTTTCTAGTACACGACATCCAGACAATGTAGAAGGGAGTTCTATCGAGTCAGGAATCCCACCCTGGAGAGTCTGGATATACTGCCTCCAAATGAAGGTACTGTGGTCTTGGAAGATTTGTGAGTTGGATAGATCCTGGTAGACTGTCCCATAAGGCAACAGATTTACTATTTAGTTCAATGTTTGTTGTTTGCTGCTGAACTCAAAAGCCTTTATTTAATATTTTTGGCTTCTTCTACTGTGTGCACTTTAAAAATCGCTGGCTTGTCACCTGACTGGATTTTGTATTTGACTGCCTATTCTGATTGTATACTATAGCTTCAATTAAAGCTTTATTTATTCAATTTTAAGAAAGCCTCTAGAGACTTTCTTATTTAAATAGAGAAGCCAGAATACAGCAGTTTTCCCAAAGGGAACCTCCTTCATGAATGGTCTCCCTCTACACCCACTACACTTCTGTGAATTAATGATGCATTTACCTGGATTCAGGATTAATAACCATAAAAGCAATGGTGCAGAGCTTTAACTCTAAATTACATCTCTGTGGAGGAGACATTTCTGTTATAGACAAATTTAGAACAATTAGAATCTCACCTATGGAGGAAATGAGATCTTTTCTAGAACTAGATATAGCAGCACTAATAAATTAGAGGTAACAGGACATCCATTTAAATGGGAATATCAATGAAGTTACTTAAAAAAAAGTTCTCTCTCACCTCAAGGTTGAAGACAACAGTTCTTAAATAGTATTTAAGTGATTATTTTAAAGAAAAGGATATTCGTGTTTTCAGTTTTCTTGTAAAACCTCACCCAAACAGTCTAATTCTAATTTATATAGCTTTATATCCTACCAAGTTAGGATATTTCAGTTCTGCTGATGTAGAAAAAAAAAAACTTTCACAGTCTAATGACACTGACTTGTCAGTTTACACTGACTAAGGAACCAGGATTTTTTAAAGTCTGAATTAATTTTCAATGATAAGTAATGATGATTCTTATCATAACTTATGGACTTGTATTATTGACTCCAGCCTAATGATCATTCCCTATGAAATCAGTTCAGTATTTTAGCTTAGATCAAATCCTTGTCCTCATTTTCCTGGAAATACCACAGAGATTTACTAGTTTGCACCTTTACAAAAATGGCCATTTAAAAAACACACACACAACAAAAACTGGCAGTTAATAAGTGTGTTTTATTATTTGAGAAACTGCAATATTTTTTTTAACTTGGTAACAAAATATCATTTATTATTTTGGAAGGAACAGGCACTGTGAATATGTAGCGTTTATGCTTTTACTAATTATTTTCACAAATTAGAGCAAAGGGGGAAAAGGTATTTTTGATGGAAAAGTACTTTAATCATAACAGAATACACAGAACTAAATTTACAGTTACTCACCCATTTTATTTCCATGCCCTCTGTAAGCTTGCCAAGTCTTTCAAAGTCCTCTTTGTTTATTCCACTTCTTCCTGTGCTTGTTCTCCAGCCTTTACTTTTCCAATTGTCCACCCAACTTGTCATGTATGGGGAAAAAAAGTTAAGAATGAAACTGTAGCACTCTCATTTTAAACAATAACCAAGGATAAATATTTTTAAAAGACATCCAGCATGAACCTAGCCAATATGCATTACTGCCTAGAGAAAGGAAAAATCTGTGCCAATGACTATTAGAATTACTATTCTGTACCATGCTTAGCATTTACACTAAATCCACTGGCGTTTCTGCTGTCATCTCCAGACTGATCCTTCTTCAATTTCTTTTTTGCCAAAGGACCAAGCTCCAGATTCCTGCAAATATCTATTGTTGTTCAAAAACTTCAGGTAATGTGATTGATGGTAACCTGAAATACAATTGGATTCTCCAGTCTTTTGGAGTTCTCTTTTTCCAGAACTGTATTACACTACGTCAAGTATTCTTACACCTGAATGTACAAAAACGTTCCTCATGACTAGTATTGATGCTCACTTTTCTGCAGTTTCAGTGGGTAAGTTTACATGTACCTGAGTGCTAGTTTACCAAGTGAAATGTATTAAGCTGAAAAGGAGGATCTGTTTATTTGTACATGTATATACTGTGCAATTCCAACTTCATCTTTACTAACTTGTTTTATCTAAAGAAGAAAGAAAGAGCTGACACAGAGGGTTGTGCGTTCATATTTACACAGAGAACCTATACAATAGGAGAACACACATCAAGGGTAACTGAAAGGGTTAAAAAAAACCCTAAGTCACAGAAAGTAACACACTTTTAAATGAGACAGATGGTAGGTATCCACCCTCAGTCAAAGACCTACTGCATTTACAGAGATTCCACTGGCCAGATCAGCTGAGATTAGCAAAAAAGGGCAGATGTATTCCTGGCATTGTGAACAAATTACTCAGAACATATTCCAGAACACTGGACCAACACTATAGCCCTCAGATACTATGTAGTGAAGAGAAACTTCTCACTTTCCATGAAATCATAGGAGCCATTCAAAAGAATGATTTTTTTCAAGGTGTGGGGCCACAGCAATTTACCCTTACTGTGGCCCCACACTTTGCTGCTAAATAAACTAATAGTAACATAAAACACTAACTTCTGAAGTCATATAATGTTTGCTTTCATTAACAACTACTTCCATATCTACCATACAAACAATGCTTTTATCACCAAACACAACTTCTTCTGCCATACAACTTCCCAGGTTGGGCATGTTTGCATTTGAGAGGGGAAAATCATACTGCCAAAGACTTTCAAATCCTGCCACAGGCGATTCTACTTCTTGGCAGCAGTCCTGTGATACTGGTCTAGATTCTGCTAGCCAAGAAGTAGGGTGTGGTGGCTCGGAGCAGGGAACCAGCCACCTACTTACTTCTTCAGGCAAAGATGGCTTTGGCCTGATATGCAATACCATCTCCTCAGAAAGGGTATTAGAGATGCCTACTGGAGGGGATACTGAAGGCAAAGAAGTTGTTTACTCAAAAGAAACTGTAGCAAAGGAGAGGCACACTTTCTGCTTTGCCCAGATTCCCCAGTTTATCTGCTGTTCTTCATTTTATGATCTACTGAGCCCTTGATTAGATATACCTGTACTTTTGGATGCCAAAGATATGATGATGTTGGGGATAGATCTGCATTCCATTTGTACACTCTCCAAAGCATCTATGGCTTGTTACGGTCAGAAATGGGTTACTAGGCTAGATGGATTATTGGTCTGACATATGGCACTTCTGTTCTTATGTTCCTTCCCACATGAGTTCGCTACAAGAGCATGAGACAAATAATGCAGGAGCTTTTCACACTTCCTCTGCCTTTCCCTCCTTTGTAGTACCCTAGACTGCTAGTTGTTTAAAAACAATACAAACGACAAAAAACGGCACTTTACCTTAAATTCTAGGTGCTCCTGTGCTGACCTCAGCACATACCCAATGTGTTAGCTGGACTGGCTCGCCCAACATCTCTATATATCAGGTGCTTTAGTGGGGCTTTTTGGTGCTTTCATCTAATAGATGATTCATTCAGCTTTAGATAAAAGCACAAAAAAGCCCAACTGAATTGCCTGATCTGTACAGACACTGCACAGTTGAGTCAAAATAATGCACTGCTTCTTCCAGTAAAGAGCATTTTTTGTTTGTTTTTGTTTTTAAATGCCTGCAAGCAGCCCTAGTATCTTCAAGCTACAGGATACACCTTTACAGAAGGAGGCATCCAGTTTAGATTATTTTCTGTTCATGCTTCCTTCAATCTGCTGGTTCACAGTTCAGAAGAAAAAGGAAATGCTCAAAGGTAAACTTTACTTCCTCCCCAGGGCCCAGAAAATTTCTGTCATTCCACTGTCAATGGACCTCCCAACTTTGGGAAAGAAAACAGACAAAACACATGGCACCGGTTCACTCACTATTTCCTCATGTGAGTACGGAGGAAATCTGTTCTTCCTCCCAACCAACATGCCAGTAAGCACAGCTTTCTCCTTTTAACCCCACCCTACAAGCATACTATTTATAGCAAATACAGCAATAAGCCCATAGTAACTAACAAACTATCTTCCTTCCCAATGTGGAACTTGCATAGTCCGTTATACTACCAAAGGAAGTTACTACTTAAGACCTCCCATGTGAAGACTGGCTTAGCCTCTGAAGCATGAGTGAACATACCCTACCTATTTTTCTTTAATGAGCATGCTAATAAGCTTGTGTCTAATGCTTTTTTGAATCCTAAGCCCTTGACTTGATATATTCTGGTCCCCAAGGTAAACTATACCCTGTGCTAAAAAAAGTTTCACTTCAGTTTTGAGTATTGCCTTTCAACGTAATTAAATGTTTATTTGTTCTTGAATAGGAGTACTCATATTCCCCTTGTGCGCTGGGCTGCCACTGCACACTGGGGCTCTGCGCCCCGCTGCTGTTGCCCCAGGAGCTGCGCACTGGCTGCATCACAGCCCCTACCTGCCCAGCAGTGGGAGGCACAGCACAGCATTGCACAGCAACCAGGGCAACAGTAGCAGGGCAGAGAGCCCAGCAAGCAGCAGCAGCCCACCTCCACCCTGCACATAAATCGGGGGGCACATGCCCCCCATACACATGGATGAGCCGTGGCTCCATCCCATGACCCACCCCAGCCCTGGGGCCCCATTAACCCCAGCCCTGGGGGCCCATTCACCCCAGCCCATGCCTCTGCCCCACTCCCTCCCTCACCACAGGGGCCTCAATCTGCCCCCCTTACCTCTCCCCTCCCCCATGCTCCTCCCCCCCCACACACACTTACCTGTTGGGCGGTCTCCGTCTCTCTCTCTCTCTCTCCCAAGCCACAGCCCCCCTGCCCTGCTGCTGCCCCTCACTCCTGACCCACAGTACCCCGCATCCTGCCAGGGCACATGGGAACCCCCCTCCCCAGGCTCCAAACACCACACACACACCCATAGTCCCCCACACCTTGACAAATTCCACCCACCCCCACAACCATACAAAGTGCCTGCATAATTTTGCATAACTTGGCGTTTTTCTGGGCATAACTGAGTTCTTAGCTGTGCAATTAAAATCACAATTAATTGCGACTAGTTTTTTTTAATTGTGCAACTAATCACGAACACATTTTTAATTGTTTGACAGCCCTAATAAAACCCTTTAGTTTCCATCTATTTAAAATCCTTCTTTTCATGGAACCTAAGAGCTACAGCTTGATATTTGGGCATGTTTGGTCCTGTTACTAATAGCTAAGCGTGACCTACACTGAAAGCAACAATTCACTTTTGCTTACCTGTGAAAACACTTGCAGAAAAGCCTGAATACAATTTCTTAAGATATGTCTTTGCATTTGTCCAGGTTGAGTCTTGTTATTATTTCTACTCTCCCTGAAAGAGATTTAATATTTCAGTTATACACCTGCTTTGTCTCCTTTGGTTTCACTACTTACTTGATTTTAGTGATATTATCCGACTGAGCATCCCGAGCAAGTGGGCCTGAATGTATTAGAAGTCATACACAAGACCATTGGGAAATAATTTGTTTACAGAGATTTAAGTCACAGCTCAAAACAATTACAAAGGATGGTTTGGCCTCCAATAGACACCTATTTCTGCATGTGCCTGTCTACGTCCATTACTTGAGCAACAGCTATCTGTAGAAACAACTGCAACATCACCTGAGAGAGAGAGTATTGCCAAGACTGAGAATTCAATTATTAAAAAAATAACAACAGTAAGTTTTCAAATAAAAAATGACCCTAGAATTTGCCAACATTATTTTTCTTTTTTTTTTACTTTCTCAAGTACTGTGCCTACCTGCAAAATATATACATGCTGATTCATTGGTAATGCAAAACATTTTAGCTTCAGCTTTTCCCACAACAGCCTCAATTACTGTCTAGCTTCCTGAATCACCTTCTGTACAAGTGTCTTCTCTAAAGATATTCAGCTTCGGTGAAAATGTAAGTGTTTTATCCTAGAGGTGAAGCAATATATCGGTCACATATTGGATCGGCTCCAATAACAGAAAAATTAACATGATCGGTCATCAGCTTCTTTTGGCTGATAATGTCACTGATAAATGCTGCGTGCATGTGTGCAACCACAACATGCATGCAGCCAGGAATGCAGCCCGGCAGCTTGGAGAGCAGCGTCCTGCTGGCAAGTCGGGCGGTGGGGGAAGAGGCATGGGGAGAGCAGATTGAAGCCCCCACAGTGAGCAAGGGAGTGGGGCAGGGGCAGAGGCAGGGGCAGGGGCTGGCACTACCCAGCCAGGGTGGTGAATGGGACCAGGGTCAGGATGGAGCTGTGAACAGTTCATCCAGGGGGCACGATGAGGTGCGGGTGGCTCCCCACCACTGCACATGGGGGGCATGTGCTGTGGATTTGTGCTGCCCACTGCAGGCTTAGGGCCAGGGATAGCACCAGCCTCTTCCTGGCGGGGGGCTGAGCCAGGGCTGCACTCCAAGGAGGCGGGGGTAGGGTGGGCTCAGCTGCGTGGGGCAGGCAAGTAGCAGCGCTGGGAGGAGCACTCCACTCTTTACCTTTCCCTCAGGAGCCCTGCGCTGGCCATGTGTCCTCTGCCTGCCCTGCAGCACAGCATTCCCGAGGGAAAGGCAGCAGAGTGGAGTGTCCTGAGTAGGGATGATGCTAGAGGGGGTTGGAGGGGCTATAACCACCCCAAAATTCCCTGTAGCCCCCCCATAGCTACCCCTTCCAGAGCCACCTGCTACCTCATGCAGCTGAGCCTGCCCTGCCCCAACCCACTCAGAGTGCAGTCCCAGCCCCACCCCACGAGGAAGAGGCTGGTGCAGCCTCTGGTCTTGAACATGCTGGAGGTAGCCGGCATCTGCCCTGCGCACAAGTCTGGGGGGGCACATGCCCCCCATGCCTCCCCTGGGGGGGGCCACGCAACAGCATGGAGCTGCATCCTCAACCCACCCCCACCCCGCGCCCCCTGGACGAGCTGCCCATGGCTCTGTTGTCTACAAATGTCCAACTCGGGATCCTTAAAATTCTAGTTTATTAGGTGGATTGAAACACTGTAATCATAAACCTTGGGGCTGGTCCCCACACACACACACACACACACATGCACACCCATACACACA